CTATTTTGGTTTGCCAGTTGCAATTGCTGGTTTAGTGTTTCAGTACTCCACCAAATGCAATTTATTGAATAAATTATGATTAAATAAATAGCAAATTAGCCTATATGAACCTAGCCAACATTACATAGGATTCCCCACTAAGCGTTCACAAAGGTCATATAGAATCTACTCCATATAAACACTGAAACAGAGACAAAAGTCGCCCCCCCCTTTAATCGGTAACAACTAACAGAATAAAATCCATAGGAACTCCCATATGAATAATATTAATATTTAATGTGCTATACAGTTCTCTAATAAAATATAGAGAAAATATTTAAAATTGTCTCTGTTACTGAGTTCATGAACTCAGTATAAATATTTTGATTCAAAAACAAGCTGTTATATATTTAATCAGTCCACAAAAGAGGAAATTCCAGCATATCATAAGTTGCATTGCTAACATCCAAAATATAATGCCCATCAGTCAGAAAGTTAAATCCAAATAGTATCTACTTCAGAGTCTCCAAGCCAATACACCTAAATATTGAGTAGTCCCTTCAATTCACCCACTTTCCAGGATATTTTTTTTTAAAGAATTCTGTAAAAGTAGAATAAATTCTCAATCCAATACAGGTAATCCCCGAGTTACGAGCGTTCACTTAACACTCGTTCAAAGTTACATGAGTGCCCCCTAGTGTTTACGAGCAAGTCCCAAAATTACAACTATTGCAGCACCATGGCAGTCATTTGCCCTTACGAGCGACTTCAGTGGCACTGCAACATTCACCCTATCCCCCCCACTCCTCACAACAGCTTCCCCCTCCCTTCCTGTCGTGCCGGACTCACCTTGCAAAAATCCTCTCTGCCATGGCTTCTTTTCCTTTGAGGGTGAGGAGAGTCGGCTTGGAAACGTTTTTTGCGCCAAGAATGGAAGTTTCTGGAGTCCATGATTTCACACGAGTGTTTGAAGTTGCGCTAAATCATGGACCTCAGAAACTTTCATTCTCTGTGTGAAAGGTGCCTGCTCCTGCCTCCAACTGAGGAAGGCCACGCCCCTCGCATCCACGTCCAGCCCGCCGGACCTCACCACACTGGGGGAGAAAGTGACCCTGTTGTCCCTGGAGCCTTGGAGGCCTCCTCCAAGCGGCCCAAAATGGAGGCCGGGGGAGGCTTTTGCATGCGGAGGTTGGATTCAGCCCTCGGAGGTCTGCTCCAAGCCGTTTGCGCTCGGAAAGTGGCATCCAGAGGTTGGATCAAGGCCTTGGAGGGGTCTTCCTAGTCGTTTGCGCCAGGAATGGTTGAGTGAGGCATGCCTCCAACCTCCAGAAGCATGCAGCCTCTGTTCCTGGAGCAAACGGCTAGGAAGACCCCTCCGAGGCTTGGATCAGGCCCTTGAAAGTTCCATTCCAGGTGGCAGCAGCTTGGAGCAGTCTTCTGAGGGCTGGATCCAACCTCCGGAGGCATGCAGAAGCCCCCCCCCAACCTCCGTTCCTGGTGCAAACGGCGGCCGTGTGCTTCTGAAGTTGGAGGGAAGCAGGAGGCAGGCACCGCAAACAGCACAAGAATTTAGGCACCCATTCTCTGCAAAAGAGGATCGATGTCTGAACTTGTGCTATATTACAGCACCCAGGGGCTTCCATTGACTCTTCTGTCCCTCAAAAGCAGGAACCATGGCAGAGAGGAGATGGATCTTTTCAAGGTGAATTCGGTGCAGCAAGAATGAAGGGGAAACATGAGGTATCTTAGTGAGTTGGGGAGGCCTTGGGGGCCTGTTCCATCACTAGGCCTCCATGGCCTTCCCCACCTTGAAATACCTCATGTGCACTTAATGAGCTGCATGCGTTTTAACGAGCAAGGGAGTGATCTCATTCGAGGTATGAGATTCACTCTACGGGTTTTTGACTTACGAGTGGAATGTGCAGGCTCCATTACACTCATAACTCGAGGACTACCTATACAGTTGAGAGGATTGTTTGTTTTTTCTAGAGCTCAGCAGAGAGCTATATATATTCTTTTTTATAACTTTCTTGCTCTTAAGGAAGAAAGACTGTAAGAAACAGATAAAAGTCTCTAACCGCAAGTGATATTTTAATTCAGCAAACTGTACTCTGGTTACAAAGCAATCATAAATTTTGTCAGAGAAGAAATCTAGCTTCAGAACTTCAGTATAATTCAAACAGCAGTGTAAGAGAACCATTAAGCCACTTTTCAAGAACTCCAGGAATTGAACAGGAACAGAATCTTCTAAATGAGAAAGACTTACCAATGAATACTGCAAGATAATAAGAAAGTGCCAGATATCCAGATAATATTACTTCAAAAATTGTAGCTTTAAATATATGCTTTGAATTGTAGCTTTAAATATGTGCTTTGACTTTGACTTTTATATTAAGAAATTCCAAATGCCAGTCATAAATTCTCTACTATTAATCAATAAAAACATATTTTATTTTCAACAAAAAAGAATGTACTGTAAAGATTGCGTGCATATGAATGAAATCTTTTAAAGGTTTTTTTTAACCAGCATTTCCTACAACATAAATGCTAGAAGGCAGTGCACTGATTCATGGACTGTATTAAGCTATAATGTATGCATTATATGAATGCACCCACTGTATTTGTAAACCATGATGTGTGAATCCAGCCAACTGTGGTTTCCTTGAACAAACGTCATTAAGAAAACCAGCTGAATGTAGTGTATGAAGCTAGTCAATTTGGCAACCAAAAGTCCTAAACACATAGATGTGATAAATGGCTTAGAAAGCTTTAGAGAAAAAAATATTCTAAAGGACAGGCCACCTTCATCTGTTAGTTACTACAAATAAAAATTGTACAGAGTTTATTACATGCATAAGGCCTAACTTCATTTTGCCTTCAGTTCCATTTCCCTTTAACTGAAAGGATTGCTAGGGATAAAATATGCCCTAGAGCAGTGGTGGCGAACCTATGGCACGTGTGCCAGAGGCAGCACTCAGAGCCCTTTCTATGGGCACACGCGCCATGCCCCGGAGATGGCAACCATCCCTCTTCAACCAGCCACCCGCTAACTCGCCAAGGTCACACGTGGCCAGATGCATCCCAGCATGGCTGGTTTCCCTCCCCCCTTCCCATCCCTCCTGGCCTCGCATGCTCTCCTTTTCCCGGACATGACCCATTACATTGCCTCCTCAGCTGTCAGCTGGCCATTCAGCTCAGAGGTGGCTTCTCTGAACTGCTGGGGGTGGGCTGTGGAGCCCCAGAATGTGCCAGTTGGGGCCAGCAGGCTGTGGCTGTCAGCCCCCATGCGCTCGCTGGCCTCTGTGTGCGGGGACCAATGGTGTTAGGCAGCAGCTGCCCCGGCCCCTGCCTTGCCTTGCCCTGCGACAATGGCATCCCCGCCCTGCCTCGCTTCACCTCACCTCACCCCACAGGATGAGCCTCCTGCCCAACACCCCACCTGCCAGAGACCCCCTGGATCTCCCCCAACCCTACCCGGCTCCCACAGGCGTCCCTCCCCACAAGCAACATCAAGGTGACCATACCCACCTTGGCCGCCCACCCAGTCTACCATGACCACCACAGCCACGCCCACCCAGTGGGCCACGTCCACCTGGCACCCTGAGATAAATAAATGGGTTTTGGGTTGCAATTTGGGCACTCGGTTTCTAAAAGGTTCGCCATCACTGTCCTAGAGAACTGTAAGTAGTCCTCAACTTACAACCACAACTGAGCCCAAAATTTCTGTTACTAAGTAAGACAATTAAGTGAGTTTTGCCCAACATGGACTTTTCTTGCCACAGTTGTTAAGTGAATCACTGCAGTTAAGTTAGGAACATGGTTGTTAAGTAAATCTGGCTTCCCCATTGATTTTGCTTGTCAATAACCCGGGACTCTGCAACCTTCATAAATACAAGCCAGTTGCCAAGTATCCAAATTTTGATGTGACCATAGGGATACCACAACAATCATGAGAAAAAGAGTCATGTCACTTTTTTCAGTGCTGTTGTAACTTTGAATGGTTCTTAAAGAAAAAAACATCGGTTTTTCTTGCCTAGGTGTAAAACCTTGCTTTTCTCCACATTAAATTTCATGTTGTTGGATAGAGCCCATTGTTCTAGTCTGTCAAGATCTTTCTGGATCCTGAGCTCGTCTCCTGGGATGTTGGCTATTCCTGCCAGCTTAGTGTCATCTGCAAATAAATTGAGTTCCCCTTCTATTCCAAGTCATTTATGAAGATATTGAAGAGCATTGGGCCTGATGGAACCTTGTGGTACCCCATTGCTTACTTCCCTCCACACAGATGTAGTACCATTAAGCAAGAACAAGTAATTAGTATAGCCAGGTTGTTGTTAGTAAGCAGATATAAAATGTAATTAAGAACACTTATACAGAAATAAGAGGAATAATAAATATTTCAGGAACCCCACAGTATTGGAGCAAAACTGATGACCATAAAATGCCCTTCTAATAGACTTGATACTAGTTTATTTCCCTGTCTTTAACAGCAAAATCTTGAGCTGAAATTGACTAAAATCTCTGCCTGCCGACTTCTACTTCTACCTGCGGATGACTGTGTTTTTACTGTGTTAAAAGCAGGCCAGGTGTTTTTTCTCATTTTGTCTGATCACTTGAAATTTCAAGTCAATTAAAAACTATGAAAAAATCTTAGCATAATAGTAAAGCAAAGCTCACAAAAAATGAATAACTCATTTACTGCAAAGGCAAAAATAGCATATTAACAGACGCACAAACAAAACGCAATATGCAAGCTAAACAAGACTAGACGCACGAATACGCATGCGCAATAGGCTAAATTGCTTTGCTTTACTTTTCCCGAGCAGCCGCGCGAGACCCAGTCTCATACTGGAAGGCGTACTCAGGCACGTGCTTCAAACTCTACTCGGACGAAAGAAAGCGTACCTCCCCCCTTTGCTTCAGAAAGCTCGTTAACCTTTTCCTTCAAATTCTTTCTCAAAGCGCATGCGCAGGAAAATGCCACACACCAACATCAATAGCGTTTTCCTTCTCTTTCTGCCTACCTGGAATACGGACGAGGCTCTGTTTTCTGCCAGGCAAAGCTGTTTCTTTGCTAGGAATTTTTAGAAAAACCGAAGCGGCTTCTCCCATGGTTGAGAAAGTACGGAAGAGACGGCAGGCGGTAGCAGTAAAAAGCATTTGCCTCTCCCGCCTGCCTTAAGTCCCAGGGCAAAAAGGAGGAAGAGGCGGTAACGAACTGCTTGACGGTTTGCGTAGGTGCCGAGCTCGAGACCTGGAGCACGTGGCCAGCAACCCATGCGGGAGAGAAAAACATGGGAGCCGGTCCAAGCACTGGCACTGCAGCTTCGTTGCCTCTGATCCTGCTGCTGGTTGTGTAACTGTCGTTTGACTCCTATGCAATATTTACAACGGGATGTCTGGCACGTACGAAGCTATAGGAAAGGTTTGCACCTTAAACTACGAGATAGCTGCAGTTTAGCATAGTGTGTCGTGGAAAAAAAGCACCTGAACTTAGTTTGTGGTTAAGTATGTTGTGAGTACTCGGAAAATAGAGTTAATAAATACTTTCCAAATCTGGGTAAGTTACCCAAAATTGGATAAAAGTGCTTTTTCTTCGGGTAACGAGACATGAATCCATTCATTAACCAGTCACAAGGACGTTTAAATTGAATTAGTGTGTTACCTGCTTTCGTTAAAAGGGACTTTATGATCAGCAGTTTTAGATAATGAAGAAAACGTGCGAACTACTAGAATAAACTATAGTTAAATCAGTCATGGGGATGTTATTACTACCACGGTTGGATAAAGTTCGCTATTTTGCTTTCCTCTTTAAGATCTGGATTATATCACACAGTAATCTAAGCTTTACTTAAGCATCATTTATAAAACAAGTGCCTGGCTTTGCACAGTACAATGAACATGATTGAAGAACATACTGTATTATAGTTAGTTTACTAATTTGGGAAGTTCACCTAGAACATGTAACTTCAAAATGCATATATTTGGTTTCTGCACATTAACATTTGGTATTCTAATATAGATTTTTGTGCCAATATAAAAGCTCTATTGTAATACATAATTCACAATTCATAAATTGCAGTGCTTTCAATTTCTACAATACTAAGTTATGACCAAGGAAAGCATATTATGCTGTAATACCATTCCTTAATTTCCCACAGGAAGGTTTTTCTGACCAAAGAGATTGGAATTTCTTCATGAATAAGGAATGCCCAAACATTACCAGATGCTAGTTCAAATATGAAAATGTATTTTTGAAATAGTACAGTTGAACTTTATCACTTGTTCCAGTTTTTATGCCATTCCTGTCAAAACTGACATTTATTTATAAATACACTTTATTGGACACCCATCTTATCTCAAAGTAACTCTGGGCAGCTTATAATCATAAAAAATAAAAACTGTACAGAGATAAAAACATAAAATACCAACCTGGACTGGATCTTGCAACATAAAACACTATACATAGCCAAATATAGCAGATCAATTAAAAGATGGGGAGGACAGGAGCAGGACGAGGGGGTATCTGTTATTAATCAGTTAAGCACCATCACTGTGATTCTCCCCCATTGGAGCCCAAGCCAACTGGCAGAACCAGGTTTTTAGGCTCTTATGGAAGGTCAGGAGGGTTGGAGCCAACCTCACTTCCAGGGCCAAAATGTTCCAGAGGGCAGGAGCCATTACAGAGAAGGTCCTTCTCCTAGACCCTGCCAGCTGGAATATTTGGGTCGATGGGGCCTGCAGCATGCCTCCTCTGCACAGACATGTGGGTTAATCCCAATGAGAAGAGACGGTCCTTCAAGTAGCCCGGACGCATGTTATGAAGGGCTTTAAAAGTGATTACCAACAGCTGGAATTGCAGAATTCCAACATCACCATCATTATTATTATTATTATTATATTGATCAGCAGCTAATGCAGCTTGCAAAGCAGTGGTGTTACATGGGTCACTCTTGGGGCCCTTGATACGGTAGTACTAACTTTTAGCATAATGAACCTGGCCAGGGCCATTTTCTGCTTGGAATTAATTGAATCGGCAGATATTTACATAATGGTCCTCAGGACTTCATTCTGTCATGTACATAAAACTGTTGATGGGAGATTATAAAGAAATGTGTTTTGTACTATCAGTATGAATCCTATCCTCATGTGCTAATTGTATTATTGTAACAGTCTTTTATTCAGATTACCAAAGACATTGCTCCTAGCCTTGATTCATTTCTAGAATTTTATTCATACTACCCTGGACATGTATGTATGCAATACATATGTACATATGTTTATTGTGTCTGAATATGTCTCTGTATTTAAATAGACATATATTCATAGATGTGGATTAAATGGATTTAAATACACTATATATATAGTGTAGTTATGTGTGTGTGTACATATATGCATGCACATACAGGTAATATATGTGAATATATTAGATTAGATAAAATAACCTTTATTGTCATTTTTATTGTGGGCACAACGGCACACATTAAAAATAAAATTTAGTTGCTTGCTCTCAAAGTGTACACATACATAACACACAATTAAACATACTATATACAACATATGTATAGACCTACACCCTTACATATGTGTGTTTTAGTATGCATGTGTAGGTATATAGCTATGTGGTCAAAGTACCAGTTATCACCTTTAAGCCTATAAAATTTGATTCCAGAAAAATTGAAACTTCTCTATATAATGCCTCTACATATACAAAAAATTCACATACTGAAATTGGCAGAAGAACTTTCGTTGAGTTACCTAAGACCACAAGAATTAGGAATACTGTAAATAAATATCTAAAAGGCTAGTTCAACAAAGTCTTGTGACAGCTTCCATGGACCAAATAGACTTCATGCAATAAAATATCAGACTCTTCAATTAGCAGAGGATAACTGCTATTTGCTCATTAAATGAGATTCAGCTGAACTATTAGTGCAACAATATAAAAGGTAAAGTTGCAAAGGGGAGGAGGTTACAACTCATGTAATGTTTTCTGCAACATGAGTGAAACAGGCTTAAGTGGAATTTTCTTGTCATTCTATATCTAAAGGATAACACTAACATTATTAGAAGATTCTCCCCTCTTGGGGTTTATTTTCCTTCTAGAAAGTTTTCAAGTTTTAGTTATGAGTTCTCCAAAGCCATCTGGTGGATTTCTAGAGGAAGTGCAGCAACATACTACATACTGATTTATCTCAGGAAATTCTTTTGTATGTCAAAGCTTAAAACCAGGCCCATCTAATGAAGAAAAATGCAAGATGATACATAATAGCCACTTTATAAGCTTTCTGACCACATGTTTTTCAAAAGAAAAGATCCATTTAAAATTATGAAAAAATTGCCATTCTAGTCAGACCAGTTTTTAGCATGGAACATAAAGATAGAGACACAACTCTTTACTGTGGCTATACTAAAGAAGAAGCTGATGCATACTGAGGCATAGTCCAGAATTATAGATCCCTCAGCTAATAAATTCAAGTCTTATTCTCTGATAATAGAAATTTCTTACTTGCATAGTTTCATAACTAGCCAAAAGAAGCTGACAAGAGCAGTGATGATTGCTGTTTATTAAACAGTACAGTGCTCAGCCCCCTACATAAGCAAATCATCAACAATATTTATTGTGAGCTGCCCAGTAATTGATATGGGAAGCTATATATGCTCAATAAATAAATAAACATCTAAAGTATTCTTGGATGCTAATTCTGAATATATTATTTAAATAAATGTGGGTAACATCAAAATCTGCATATCCAATTCTAATATAATAAGTTTATTGTTGATAAATAGAGAAAGTTTATGCCTCAATCATGTAATAGAAATATGGACATCATTGCCAGCATGTAGACATAGATATTTTGCCTTCTGTTACCTAAGACAATATAAGCATATTGATTAGTTACGGGTTTTTTCTTGACTTATTAATGTATATATAGCTTATTTTCCAGCAAATTAATATTACCATGGAAAACACTGGAAAGATCTTTGTTCCATATTGAAGATATTTAACAATTTCTAAGTGTTCATATGGGCATTACTCAGCATAACTGAAGTAATTACCTTTCTAAAGGTGGAGATTGATCCCTTCTGTTATTATAATATGTATATGTCCATTGTCTTTCCTGGTTCACCCCGTATTTGACTGTTATTTTATTTTTTAAAAAATAACACTTCTGTAACTGGTCATAATTATTATCAAAGAGATTGCTACTAAGGTCGCAGCTCAGAATATGAAAATGCCATTCCATCTTTGAATGAATCTCAAGTAATACATGGCCTGTAATAATTGAATCAGCCATCCTTGGCATATGATAATATTTCTCCTTTACGTTTGCTAATTTAATTTCCTTTATATGCAGTAGTGTATAATTATATGGAAAGAAACTAAGGTAAGGGTTATGCTGCTGGAGAAACTCATGCACCAGATTTACTGACCTGAAGTTGTGGTTTTTAGGCTAGCCTTTTCCAAGATACTGTCTTCTAAATATATTGGACTAATTTCCATGGTCATCCTGTGCTACCATGTTTCCCCGAAAATAAGACCTGGTCTTATTTTTTTGTTTTTTGTTTGCCTCCAAAAGAGGCACCAGGTCTTATTTTGAGGTGAGTGGAAAAGACACCCCCCCCCCCAGCACTGACAGTGCCACCCAGCCGGCCCACTTCTGCAGCCAAAGGAGCAGCTTCATTCTGCAGCTGAGAATGGCGCTCCAGCCTGCATTTCGCAGTCAAAGGCCTTTCTGGAAGGCCATTGCAGCCGAGAACCGAGTTATGGATTCATCTATGGCTTGGTTCTTGGCTGCAGAGGCCTTGCAGAACTGACCTATGGATTGAATCCGTAGCTTGATTCTCAATTGCAGTGACTTTCCAGAAAGGCCTCTGACTGCAAAATGCAGACCTGGGGACACTGCAGAAGTGGGCCAGCGAGGAGAGGCCTGGCTGCAAGGTAAGTGGGTGCAGGGTGCGTGGGGCAGCTCTACATCCCTGCCCTAGCTTGATTTTTAGGTGTGTACCTTGTCCCCAAACTAGAGCTTATTTTGGGGGGAGGGCTTATATTAGGCCCGCCCCAAAAAATCAAGATAGGGCTTATTTTGCGGGTAGGGCTTACTTTCAGGAAAACACAGCTGGGAAAGTTGATCAAACACATGTGGAGGATACCAGATGAATACTTATGAGTTATGAGTGCTAAGAAGTTAAATTTTTCACTAAAAGCTTAGCAAAGTATAT